GCGGTATTTTTAAAAGATGGATAGTTGCTTTAAAATTCGGTGTGGTCATGATTTTCTGATGTTCATCAAAGAAACGTGAAATAACAACTGAAATAATTTTTTTGTGCTCCCTCGACCCAAACAAAAAGTGATTTTGGCTTTCGTTATTTACTTATGTGCTGTACATGATCCAATGTTGAGGAGTAGATGTCAAATTACCTGTAGGGTCTGTGCATCTGATCTTTGTTATATGGTTGAAAACATGATCAATATTACCTCATTATCATAGTTGCTTATGTATTATTATTTTCTGGTTCCTTTGGAATGCATTTATCTTTTGAATTTTGAATGAGCGTATTTGGTCGCGACATTTTTAGCAACTTCTTTTGAATTGACTTTCCTAGCAAACTGATCAAACATAGGTTGAGAAATCACCCCTGAATTTTATTGTATGTACTTACATAAACCTCCAGCGAAATTAGCCTCGGTCGCATTGTTCAGACATAAAGCACATTTCAGCAGAACGTCCTCTTTCTGTGGCTCACGTGGTTCCATTAACCCGCGCACCGACGGGGGGGGGCGGATATCCGCCCCCCCTGAGGTTTTTCGCGAATAGCGGGAAAACCGCGGCGCGTAGCGCCGCGAAATTTGGTATGACTATAACCTCATCAATTTTACACATGGTGTGCAAGTTTGAACCTCCTACCTTTTAAGGTCAGGTCACCAGGTCACTTTGAATGACCCAACCTCAAGTCACTTTTTTGCAACTTTGTCACCGTGCCAGAGCTACAGTAGATGTCGGAGGCCTTTGAAAGTCGCAGGATATTATTAGGTCATTAGTAGCTACAATTTGTATATCTCGGAATTTTGATATCGGTGACCTAAGGTCAGGTCAATTTCGCGACCTCCCCATTATAAGTCAATGGGGGAAAAATCAACTCCCTGTTTTTACCACTAAAACGGGTCGGAATGGCCCCATATACCATACATGACTTCATATACGATCAACCTTCACTACCTTGAGGTCTGTTTTGCTGTTGGGCAGCTGTGAGGTCATGTGACGTCATCAAAGGTCACCAAAGGTTTTTGGCCAATAACTCCGTACAGGAACAAGATACAGACGCGTGGATGGTCTCATTGTGTTCAGCTCGTCAAGACGCATCGAATGATATACATGATGACCTCGAGGTCACGTGACCTGAGGTCAACCTTTGACCTTGACCTTTCGAGGTCAACATATATATCATTCGATGCGGATTGACGAGAGGATCACGATGATGCCCTTAGTTTGTTCCTATCTTGACTAATTCGAAAGTTATTCGAGAAAAACTCTCTCCATATCTGGCGCCGCCATTTTGACTTTTTCGACCCCTGTGACGTCATCTTTGACCTGACCTGAAAATGACCTTTGTAAAAATTGTAGATCTTGGCCGTGCGTATCCGATGCCGCTTACCGCTTGTCGCTATCTTGCTTCGTTCTCGAGATCTCAGGGGGGGGGCGGTCATCCGCCCCCCCCCCCGTCGGTGCGAAGTTGGCGCAGACCCCCGTCGGTGCGCGGGTTAAGTTTCGGCCACGGTTCGAAGCGATGCCGTCAAGTTGACACAGGCTCGTGACGGCACGGCATTCGTCATCGGTCTGTATTATACTGGTGATTAGATTCAGTTCGTTCGCCAGACAAGTTCCATGTTTTCCAGCCAGCGCGAATTGATGGTGATGCCGGACGGCACGAACGGTTCTTCGCCGCCAGCAGTACTATGTACTGCAGAAACTACACACTACACAGCTGAGAGTTCCACAATTATGTCGCTTTTGAATACGCAGTGTTTCTGATGTGGCATCACAAAGCTTTCCTAATGGGTTAAGTCCACAGAATCGCAATCAGAGTCCAGGCTTCAAACCCTGTGGGGTAAATTATTATACTTGTACACATATAAAAATAGTATACCTATTATATAAGTTGTTTTTAGTTGAAGCATATAGCCAAAAGCACATTGCAATGGGCTATAGATTATCAAGCTCATGAAGCATCATAGGTTAAGTGGTTGTGTATCTGTCTTTAGGCCAAAGGCCTGAAGCCTGATGCGCAACGCATGCCTACACAAGCCCTTGCAAGGGGTTAAGAAAGATGAGTAGGTAGGTACCTACATCAACAGAAAACATAAACAACGAACCAGAATAGAAGCACTAACAGTGTAGACATCTAATGCCAAATCCTGAAGCATGGTTGTGGGACAGAACAACAGACCCTGATGCTTTTCATTATCAATGTTAGGTATGGAAAATGAAACTGAAGTTGATGGACTGTCAAACAGTGATTGTCTAGTCAAAACTCTTGCTTCTTTCTTACCTTGCATATTTTCTGGGGTGTGATATGCCAGGCTTGAAGCAGCCTTCTGAGCCTTCTGAGTAAGTCTCAAACTAATTTGATATGCAAGGCATGAAAGCACTAGTGAGCATCCAAGAAAGAAAAACATTCATCTTTTTTATTTTTCCAAATAATGATCTTCGCTCAAATCCCCAAGGACGTGCGAGCCACAATTGCCTCTTTCAATCAAAAATTTTACTTGAGTTTAAATGACGTCAATAGCAAAGAAGTGGCAATAAATTGCTTTGACTCACTATAAACAGCCATAAAAATCCAAATTAATAAATAATAATGCTATACAGTTAAAAACTTGCTCTCAAACAAAGAATAAGTATCACATTTTTACATTTTTTTAGAAAAAGACGTCATTTTATTAGTAAAGTCAACAGCTCGCGTAAGAAATATTGTGTTCAGGGTTTTCACCGTAATGTGAATTACGTGTTCATGGTTTTCACCATCATATGAATTAACCGTAAGTAAGGTTCATGCTCACTTATAATCTAATTCCATTGGCTTCGTTGATCAGCATTTTCTGTTAGTGGTCACTCACACACCAGTTAGAACATAAAGCGCCAGTTTTATATTATGTATTTGGACTTGCCGAAAATCCAGAAATACATCTAAGAGTTATTTTAGATAATATTTTATGAAGCCTTTGCCTGCCTTTACCTAGGCGTGGTTTCTTTTTCTATTACCTGAAAGAATTATTGAACGCTCGTCTTCAATAGCTGTAAGGTGCTCTCCTAATGACCAGGTGAGATTGGTTTGAGAGGGATGTGACAATGCAACATGTTGCATTTTTTGAAACTGTCAAGCTCTTGATGATGAAGGAACAATTGGTACCTATAATTAGTATTCTGTACCAGAGTGCAAACTCCCCTACAGCAAATGGTAAAACCATTACAGGTTTTCAAAGGCTTCACCACTTTCAATGTTGCTGGGCATCCTTTGCATGATTTTTGCAGGCTAGACTGTTTATCAGAATGTAAGATTAAGGATTTAGAATTTTATATTTGAGTACTTGAGATTGAGCTTGAAATCTCACAGCCGTGGCCACAGCCGTAGCCCAGGATAGTGTCAAACAGCCCCAGGTATCTATCAAAGAATCCATGCGCCGTTCTGGACACCATAAGACGAATTAGCTACCATTAACTAGTGTCATTTCATGCTGAGATGGCGACTAAAATGATCGAAATGCAAATAAAATAGCTAAAATAGCAAGGTTAAATCTCCATCATCAAAACTTCTCCCATTTCCCCTCGTTCTTTGCCAAAGAACAAGCGTTAGTATAAGCGAAGAGCCACGATCTATGGCCATTGTAAATGAAAAAGTGACCTATCACGTTCATTAATCACACGAAAATATCGTCCAGATTATACGCCGATGGTCGTTAAGAAACACGCAAAATGCAGATCAGAATAATAAACGCTGGCTTAGTTACAAAGACATCGGACAGAACAGCAGTTCGCGTAATTGGCCGTAGATGTCACATGTGCTAAGCCCTTGTGAACAAAACGAAACGGTCGGATGAATTTGGTTACGTGAAGTCGTGAAGTAAGGAAATGATTGCACAGTAAAGACTTGGTGAATGTATTTACTAGTTACATATTAGTGATGTCAATTACAGAAAATCGGAATACCGATACCAAACCAAATACCAACCAAAACCGTGGGGAAATACCGAAACCGAACCAACTTTGAAAGATGAGGGAAATACCAACTTTTTACCAATTTCTTAGCCTCTTCATAGGCGGCGGAACGGGGAGGGCACCGGGGCACCGTGCCCTCCTTTGATTTTGGCATTTTAACATTAGCCCTATGGGCGTTGCATGGAAAGAGTGGGACCAAAAGTAGGCAGTGCCCCCCTTTGATTGAAGGTGTTCCGCCGCTACTGAGCCTCTTATACATTAGTAAGGGTTCATAATACCAACAAAATACCAAACACATTAGGATTGAAATACCAAATACCAAGTTAGTATCGGTTTGGTATCGGTTTACCAAAAAGTTGGTATCCGATTGACATCTCTATTACATATAGTAGTGATGCAAAGACGTGATCACTCAAAGTCAATATCAAAATCCCCGAGCTTTGGTATGCTGCAATGCACAGACGCACAGACAATAAATTCGGGGAGAGGAGAGCTCATATCTCTCCTCTCTCCGAAAATTCGGAACGAAAACAATAAATGAATAGTAGCCGAAAAACGTACCTTGAGTTTTAGAATATGTGTACAATTTTTTTTTGAAACTATGTGTTAGGTGCTCAAAACAATGCGGAACTATAAGATTATGCTTTCACACAATAGAAAAAGGACAGCCGTGCTTGTGATGCAAGCTTGCATCTGCATTTAGGGGTGGCCTTTAGGATATGCTCAATCCAACTTGAAAGAATCGCACTCTCACCGTAATTCGGTGTCACTTTATGAGACATTTCTCCTGCATAATATTGCTATTGACGGACAGTTTAGGATGATGCGAAAACAAATGTGAAGCACGCTCATCCTCAATTCTATATCAAACCCGTTATCATTCGAACGGCATGGAACGCACGTAAACCGACGCCGAGCAACAAGTAACCCTCCTTCCTCCGCTTTATCACTGCTATCATGCAAAACCGACGTCTGTATCAGCACTACCAGCCCCCACAGCACTCACCCAGCAGTCCCAGCAAGAGCGCGCTCCAAGCGCCGACCGTCAGCATGGCTCCGTCGCTGGCGACACGGTCACGACGCGCCCGACCCGACGAGGCTGCCCGAGCGTCGGCGACGACGCGGTCGGTCTGTCCGACGTCGGCGGCGGCAGCACGGAAACTGGTCACAGCTCGGCGGCCGGCACGCGCGCTGGCCGCCGTCCTCCTCGTCGATCGATCTTTACCTGTGCCGACCGCGGCCGCCCTCCGCCCACCGTTTACCAGCGCCCTCCCGGTCCTCCTCCTCCGAACTACTCATCCAGCTCCCGGTCCTCCTCCTCCGAACTACTCAGCCGGATATCGGTCCGTCCTGAGACGTCTCAGTCTCTTTTCTCCGCTCGGAGATTCATGTTTCCGGTTGCGATCTCCGCTCTCCACCCACTTGGCTCTGTTCTCCTTCCGCTTGTCTCTGTTCCATCCCGCCTGTTTCCGTTCTCCGCCCACTTGTCTCCGCTCTCCTCCCGCTTGTCTCTGTTCTCGCCCACTTGTCTCTGTTCGCCTCTCACTTGTCACGGTTTGCAGCTCATATCTCTCCTTTCCCCGTTGTCTGCCCATGATTACTCCTCATCGCTCATACCCCACCACTCATATTTCGCCTGCCACCTCGGTATGTGTCTCTCAATTGTCCGTTTTAATTAATGAACTTAGCTCGCACGCAATGGTGAGATGATGACGACGATGACCGTATGTAAAACAATGGTTGGATGACGGGGTAGTTCAGTTATCACCTTCATAAACTGAGGGAGCAGTATGCGGAAAGGTTAGTTATCATACTGTGACGCGGTCAGGTTTTGACAGCCTCAGTAGCCGGAAATGATTAACCAGTTTGTACCTCTTAGACGACTGTTCTTATTTAGTAACTACTTTTACCCATTTCAGAGAAAGTTGGAATTAAATAATTCATTTTGCACTTATTTTGCACTAGCGTTTGCTCAATTATATCTTTCTACGATGTAATAATGTTATTTCTGGAAAAGGGATTTGGCATTTTCAATGTCAGAGCTGAAAATATCTCGCATTTCTGCTTCGTTGATGTTTGTTTTGACTCGTAGGCGTAACTAGGTGTGGGTATGCTTGAAGTTAAGTTATTATCCTCCTGCTCTGTAATCATCATGCCTTATGGGCTGTGAGTGGGCAGAAATTCCTTAGTTTTCTTAGATTTATTAGTGCAGTGGCAGCAAATGAACACATTTTGCAGGTGCTAGACGTTGGCCCGCTTCACTAATGGTGCCAGGTTCCTGGTTCTGTAAGTACAACTCGGTGAGTTCGTGCTCAGGTGCCGATGGGGCGCCGAAATGTCAGGCTGCCTTGTGACGGCTGAGGTCGCCCACTGAGGGCTGAGGCCGACTGAGACTCGCCGGCAAGGCGAGCACTGCCACTCAGGTTTCGGCGCTGCTGCCGTCCGTTCTGTCCGGTGCGTACTACGGTCATGACTGAGAGATTCAGAGTGGGTCTAACTTTGATAAATTGTCCCCAGTTTACAATGCAGGACTTTATTTAATCTTATTCACCAGGTGTTCATGTCACACGTAAAAAGCGCGGCGAGACATGCTTTACTTTACGTACTCGTAAGCTCATAATGGGGCACTCACTCCCACCCTTTCCGCAGCATTTACTGGAGGATCCTGGTCTAGGCCCTGTCATTCTATTCTGGTCAGCTCTCATCATCGGTGTAGAATTTCTGTGGCACCAGCCAAAGGCTCCCAACATCAAACGGCCCCATGTGTCTGAGGACAGCCCGCCGCGAGCGCTCAGAATCCTGACGACGAAAATACCCCCGTCCTCTTTGATAGGGAACCGGTTTCCACGGCAGCTATACTTGTGACTGACTGTGGCTTGTGGCTCTCCGTTTACCGATGGCAGCATTTAGACTCAGATGAACCTGATTCGCATCCATGGCACTTCCTGCGCAAGGTTTTCAGAGTTTAAACGTTTTTGGTACACCACCTCACGACAAGATGTTCTCTTGTCGTTTTCAGCCATCACATTCAGGTGCCATCATCCCTATCATTTATCACCAGCTTTCCACCGACGTCGTATCCGTCATTTTACCAACATCATCACACACCCCAACCACGTCCGTACGCGGCGCACAATGCCCCTGCGCCGTGTTCGCCTCTGTCGCGCTACACTGGCCGTGCCAGCACGCTCCAGCGAGCCACAAGAAATATTGTGCTTCTTTATCTTCTCATTGGCTGATTTGAACGCTTGGCCGGGTGCATTGTTGCGCGGTTTATCTGCGGCCGGCGACGACGAAACGCATTAACTGCGGCGGCCAGCATTGATCGCACTGGCGCCCGAGGAACACCGCGCTGCGATACAGCAGCGGAGAGTGGGGAGGACGCGCGCGCGGCTGATGGCACGCCGCCCGGACCGCCCCGCTGTAGGGCAGGTCAGTGAGTTTTATGAGCGGACTCGGCCGTCGATCGCAATAGATGACGTGCAGAGTCTGAGATCGTGGATCGAAGAAGTTCTGGAAGCAACGGTGGGAGTTGTTTGGCGATGCTTGGCGATACTCATGAATTGGTTGGTTGAGAATACACGAGTCCAGCCGATTCTGAATAGATTATTTTATACGGATGGAGTTTGAAAGATAATTTGTGACTTATAAAACTTCGATCTATCAAGGGATGGAAAAACTGAAGGCCCGTGTCTTGGGACCATTCTGCTTATGAGTGCAATCAGCCGCTGTTTTACCTTTCAACACAAACTGATTTTATGCCCCGCATGCATCTCTTAGAACCCCTCAGAACAGCCGACCAGGTATCAGTAACATAATTTGCCATCGGGCGGCGTATAGAAGGCGGATTAATTCTGCGGGCGTCCCCTGTGGCGAGCACCGGGCCCTGGCGTGGGCCGTCGCCGATAGTCGAAGTTATCCGCACCGGGTCCTGAAGCCGGCCCAGGCAAAGGCTAATTAACTCCTTTGAAGGGTGCCGTAAGAACTTAACTACCAATAACCTCCACAAGGAAACCGCGGATGGCTCTAAGAAAGGAGTTCAATGCGGGCCACATCAAGTTCCCTCAGAAGTATGGATCTCTGTGAGCCTTGTTAGATTAACACAGCCTGATTGGAGTATTACCTGACCGGAATTATCAAATTTTGAAGGTGTTTCTAGAAGCTTGATCATAGCTGTTCGTGGTTAGTGTACATACGGCATGTGTCCAACTGGTTCACGGAACCAAGAATTTGACCATTCGTGGGCCGCTTCGAGCCTTCGTCACTGCACTGGATTGAAACCGGTCGCTTTGTTGCCGCCAATGTCCCTCTTACATGGAGTCATTGAATCTCTATTTACCTGCGTTGCTCAATGGACACGGATTTTGTGGTGACACCTGGGTATTGGAATATATTTTCTGATAAAGTTCCTATGTTTCAACAAAATTAAGCCAAAGGAGTGAACTTGCCTGTTGCCGTGCACGTATCGCCTCCGATGTTTGGGGCTTATATATGAACATACATGCATCGTACAGTACAATAATACCATCTACTTATGAACAAAATAAAAATAAATTGCAGACATTATTGCTAGCTTTCAGGTCCAGCCCTATTTCATGATTGAGGTGCGACCATAGCCAGCCGTGTCACCCCCAGCGACCCGGCGACCTCGGTCGCGAGGTCATGTCACAGCGAGTGTGCTATGAGAGCTCTGGAGTCCGCTTGTACTGGGATATTTCTCCGGGGACACATGCGTTATTCGACAACTCTGGTTATTACCTTGGTGAGCCGCAAGGGTCTCACAACGTCATAAACATGATCCCCCGGCTGCGGAACGACGCCACACATCGTTTGCTTCTCCGCTGTAGGCAGCTTCAAAATGTAAAATCGTATGACACCATGGGACGGTATGATAACTTGAGTGTCTCTTATAAACGTTGGTACATACACACAAATCAATGGGGAATGGGTAAAATTCAGTTTTGCTTTGATAAGCTAAGATTTGTAGGTTAGCCGAAGAAGTGTGCCACTAAAGTCTGAAAGTTAGCTGTTTTCATAATATCCGAAAAGCAAGATTATGTCACTGTGTGGTCAAATAGCCCGAACATCTGCTAGCCTAGGCATTCACTGGAATCAACAATTTTTTATATATTTAGCTCGAATGTTTGAATGGACGGATTGACAGAGCCGGAGCCCACGCTAAGCAGAGCTTGTTGCGTAGACCCCGAAGACCCCTACCGTCCAATCGCGCAATTCCGAGTAACGGGATAATTTACATGCCAAAGTTTAACGTGCCCTTCAAAGCCGGACACGGCCTGTCCCACTCAACTGACTTCAGCTGGCTGCGGCTGCTCCGACCAACCGCAGACCATCCCCATAAGGAATCTCAAATATCGAGCGCCAGAGCGTCTCGAACCCGGGATCTCACTACCGGGAGTCCAATGCTCTACCAACTGAGCTACGGGACAGGCAGTAAAATAATAAGACAATATCGGGTGACATTGCTATCACTTGGCACGGCCAAATTTAGAGCAATGATGGCGGCACTGTATGTATAGAAAGCACATTGTCGGAACTGTGCAACTAGCTTTCCTTCCACGAAGAAGAGCCCTTCACGAAGACATGAACTGCATAACTCCATCGCATTACCCCGGCACCTCGAATATTCAATTCTACAATATCGTCACATAATATGCTAACGAAGACACTCTCGGTGGCCCAGAGGAGGCCCATAAACGCCGAGTGGCGTTGTGAAATCCCGGCTAAAGCCTGCCTTTTAATTGCAACTCTGGGAAGCGTCTCACTTCAGCTGTGAGACGTGGGCCTCATTCAGCATTCACCGGTAGCCAGCGTCGGTAGCGGTAGGAGGTTCGTACCGCTGGTGCTGTCCTCTAATGGCACAACTCAGATGAGAAATGAACGTGCCAGCTACCGATCGTAACTAAAACGTCACGCTAGCTCTATGGGTTGGGCAGAGGAGGTGAGGAGCTGGTTAGAGCGATTCGAATTGTTCTTACAAGAAGCGGAATGTGGAACATAGAAGTGAAGTATAATGTCAGGGCCTTGGTAGCGTCGTTTACTGGTCATGCAAAGAGTGCTGTCAGCTCAAATAAAGTCTTTCTTAGCTTTGTGGTTGCTGTTTTGTAATTTCAAGCAGATTCTGATAAAACGCTTTGGGCCAA